TACCTGATACCTGATACAGTACCCGGTTTGCGTTGCAGCGCCTCTGAAAAAAGTTGATGCACACTTTAGCCGCTTAGCCGCTTGCCAGGCCTTGCCTCCGTAGTCTCCGCCTTGCTGTCTTGGGAATCCTGTCACAAAGAGAAAGACACTGCCAAAACTGCTTTCTGGATGCCTCAAAACCTCATGTTCTTTTTCCTGAGCTACTCTGCTGTGAAAAACTATCTCCTCTGGACCATTCTGTTTTTCTGCTTTGCAGCTTCGAAGAAGAAACATTGCAAAACGCAGCAGGTCGTTTTGTCGTTTCTTTTGCACCTCGAGGCGGCGCCGCTTTCGAGCCTCTTCAGCCCTGGCGGCGAACTCGATGTAAAACCAAAGCAAACTCCTTTCCCATGTTTTGTTGGCTGGCACGAAAATGAAGCTCACAGGTCGATTTAGAGCGTACCCGCCCCAAAATCCATCCTTTCAAAGTGGTGAGTCACAAACAAAGCGATGAAAATGATAATCACAAAGCCCACATGTTGATAAATTGATAAGTAAGGTCCTGCAGTTCAATCTCATCAAATCCAATACATGCCACAACGCCATGGATTTTTGGCGGCTGTCGCAGAACTTAGAAAAGCAACGCCCTTGGTCGGTACGGACTTGTGGCCAATCCACAACACACAAGTGGCTACCGGCCACACAGCTTCCGAAGCAGAAATGTTGCGGACTTCTACCAGTCCTTCTGCACTCGCCCTGATTCCAGCCGGTGGTTGCGCACTCTCACCCAAACCGTTCTGCTTGGACCCGAACAGCCCTGTCCACGGTTCGCTTCACTCGCCGACCAACGGCCCAACTCACGCGCCTGGGATCAAAGTCAGGCCTCAAAATCCGCTCCTTCACCAGCTGCTGCAGTAGCTTCTCCAGCTCCGGCGGCGGCATCTCGGCCTCCGAGCTGAGCAGAAAAACCTTTCAGTCGGAGAGAGGTGTGGACTGAAAGCATCTATATGCTGATAAAGCCATATGACAGCACTTCTATACCGTCCCTAAAAACTGATAAAAGCAAAAGCATCTAGTGTCAAAACTGCTCATAAAAACTGGGTCGTGCTCACGTTCACGACCCTTTGTCTGCCCTGCGGTCCTGCCTCTGCCTCCTTGAGGAGCCGTGCTTTGCTGATGCGGCCGTACTTCAAGGTCAACAGCAGCATCTCAGCGGCCTCCAGCGGTGCAGGTCAAGCTGCGGTCTGACTCACAGTCCCTGGAAAGTGGAGAATGGTCCCTGGAAAAGGACTTTCCTTTATGAACAAGTTGTCCACTTCCATGTTTGTGAGTCAGAGTGTTGCTGGAATCCACACAAAAGCTGTTGCTGCTTTCGCCGGGGTGAAAATGATGCCCTGAACCACCGGGCAAGACTCCATTTTTGGTCTCACTCCCATTGCGAACCTCTTCACCTTTTGCAGCAGCCACATACTCTAGGTATTGTGGAAAACGCAGCCGCGCCAGGATCTCATCGCTTTCTGCTTTGTACACCTGGCCAGACTTTTCTCCAACAGGCCAGCAAAACCAGACCCACATCTTTGTCCCATCAAGCCCAGGGAGCAAAGTGTGTCTCTCAGCGCTCAAAAGCATCGAAATCCAATTCGGTTTGGGCTCGGGGTGGGGGGAACGAACCGGTTCTCGCCGAGCTGGCCCAAAACTGCTTCGGGGTTGGCGTCGTTCACTTGGCGTAGTCATGGGTTCCTTCAAAAAGAACCCTTTTCGTTCGATGTGTTCCAGCATCGTTCTTGAGCTTCCCCACTGATGAGTTGCTTGGGAAAGCAATCAGTTGACCAACCAAGGTCACTGAGCGAGCGATATCATCAATCGCGAGATCTCGCTGCGACCGACGAGGGGTGGAAGTGGAATCATCAACTCATCAATGAGGTCTATCATGGTCTACCATGGTCTATGATTCCATTTTTCATAAGTTCATGAGTTGATGATTTAAATCATGTCCTTCATGAGGTCTATCATGGTCTACCGGTTTTTCCATAGAACACAAAGGACCAAAAAGAACGAGTGTCCTCCGACAAAGCACGCCCACATCTACAGTAAATCGAAACCAAAACCAAGAACTTTGGCACTTTGGCCAATTTTGGCACGTACAAAAGTTTGAGTCACATCAACTGTTCTGAGACCTATTCAAGTTCCACTGCGTGTGATCCATTGCAAAGCGGTTCCCAGATCCCGGCGTTAGAGGACGCAGTGTTCTTCCAATGTCCTTCGTTTGAGGATTGGATGGGCTTCACTGTACACGACGCGATGCGACGTCCGACTTCACCTCGATCGACTCGGAGGTATTCAAGGCTCCGCAGCTTCCAAAGGTGAATTGAACTTTAGGAGCGATCACAGCACATGAACAAAGAAAAGCACCTCTTTGGATATGTGTGATCTGAAACTGTCCACGAGGTCCGCTACTGGACTGCTGTTACCGAAGAATTTTCAGCAGAACCAGGGGTCGACAGGTGAAAAGGGTGCCCCAACTTGAGACAGAGACGTCTTTTCATTTGTTGCAAGTTGGGGCAAGCAGAAACCAATTCAACCGGTTTCAGGAAGACCAAAACGACACCTACAAAAAATTCTTCAGGTTCTTCAGCACGCGTATTGAGGGATGAGGCTGAAAGAATGACAAGAGAAAAAAACTGTTGGAAACCAATATAGAAATAGTTCCACGACGAAGGCAAAGTCGTTGCGCCGAAGCCATAACCGTTCAATAATTCAGGAAATTTAACAAAAGGAAACATAGACTGTCAGTAGGTCTCATTGTCTCGTCAAAACAATTTATGGCACCTGCAGGTAGCTCTCATCTGGGCTTTGGTAACTCACCAACGAATGCTGCAGCATGACCAGCATTGCATTGCGCAAGGCTGGGAACTCCACCGCCTCTTGCTGCGTCTCCTCCCGACTCAGTCAGTGCAGCTGCCATAAATGAGCAAGAATGCTAAGAAGCACATCTGCTACATAAGTCCACTGAAGGACCTCGTATGTTAACCCTTCACAACCATAGGCTGCGTCTTGAGTCTTGCTGGCTCGAGCCTTTCAGTTTCCCAAGAAAATACCATCTCAGACCCACCAGATCAATGCTATGGTTCAGTGCTAAGAACTATACACTGTATAACTTGTTGTTGAGGTTGTCTCATGTTGTTGTGTCACCCCAAACTGTGTGACGTCTGTCAAACCGCAGGAGGCAAACTTCAAAACATCCGCTTCAGACATTCCGACCTATAAAAGGAAAAACGGTACTTTTAGGGTCAATCAAGCCACCCTGGTCACCCATCTGAAACACAGGAAGTACAGCCAAACCCCGTCACTTCCTGCACGTAGAAAAGGATCTCTTGGAAGCGCAAGGGACCTCGCTGAAGGAGCACATGCCCAACACGTGCGACCACGGAGCCAAATTGCTCCTGATCGCGGAGCACATGTGCAACACGAGCTGTTCTGGTCAGCCTTTTAAGGACTTAGTTGCTCTTTTGCAGTAGAAAGCGCTTTGCTCTTTTGGTCATGTTCTGAAGAAAAGGATCTGAAGAAAAAGAACGCAAATGTTTGGTACCTCTAGAAGTAGCTTTTTGACTTTGTCAACTTCTGTGTGGTCATAAATACAATCAACTGTTCACATTATGACCTTGACGGCACATCGCTTGTGATGGACGTCATCCAAGCACTAGGGGCACATTGCGTGTATGGTACATGCAATGTCAACCACTTAACCTGACACCAACTAGCTCGGCGTAAAAATGAACTCACAGCTGGACTAGAGAGATCACAAGCAGCCAGCCCAAAGCTTTCTTATTGTTCAACGCCACCCAATGGAAATGCCAAGTCCAGCAACATCATGTCTGGAGCTCATTGACATTTGCTGTGATTTGAACAGCTTCCCTCCATGCCATGTTTGGAGCCACAACCGAGTTGTTGCCAATCTATAGCTGTTACCACATTAACAGGAGCTCCAAGCGCCAGAAGCAATTGAATCGTAAATTAAATCCTTCAATCAATTGCGGATGAGACTGTATCAAACTTTGCTTTGGTACTATTTCTGCAGCGTAGAAGTTTGCCCCTTGTAGATTTGCAGGCGCATATATGTAACTGCGTTCCTACACCGTCACCCTCTTTGTGGCTATGTAGCAGTGTAGCATGCCTCCTTCATCAGTTTACATCTCTGATGTCGCTAAGAAATTGATGTAGCTGATATATGGTACACCACATGTCCTGGAGTAAAACTTGAATCCACATGCTGAGCTTTACTTCTCTCAACACCGTTTTTCTTACTCCTTCCACCCACAGGGCACGTAAAAAAGCCCACGCACACCTTGCCTCCAGAATATCGGCTGCCACACGAATGGCGCTCTCGCTGTCCATAGCAACAGTCCATCATTGGCGCGACAAGCAATGCGATTTCTGCAGGTACCTTCAAGGTACCTTCAACTCTTTACTGTGGATGAAAGGCCGTGGATGGATCTTGATGCCTTCACAACCCCCACAATAGCAAGTCTCCTGCAGGAGTCGAGGACAGGAGTCGAGGACAGCTCCCAGGTGGTGGTGTCGAGGTGAGTCGAGGGGCTGGGCGACCCTCGGTTGGGCCGTCGACGACGCTGAGCCGCGAATGAGAGTGGAGTCGATGTGTAGCTCTTTGGGGGACCGACTGTCCGCTGCTCTATCTATGTGCTCTGCTTGTAGAGAAATCGAGGGAAAGAAAAGAATCAACCTGAAGAATATACGCGAAAAGATGTTGCGAAAGTGGTTTCAGGTTCGAGAATAGAGCTATTCTAGCAGGACAGACCCACACACTTCGACTGCATCAGTTGCTGAGCTGGTTGAAAGCTGGCTGCGGTCAAGAAGACGGTCCCTTGAACTGAAGATGTAACCAAACTTGAAACCGGTGTTTGGATGAGATGAGATGAGACCAGTCTTTCTCAAAGTTTTTCACTCGGTCAAATGGCTCACCCTCCGATCCAGGTTAGAACGCCGACCCAGGAAAGAGTCGCCTGCACCGGGCTAGAAGCGCCTGCATCCCGAATGAAGGCTTTTGCCTGGAAATCTTCCAAGGCTCTGAATGCTTGAAGAATCAACATCTTCCCAGGCATTTTCTTGGGAACCCTTCGATTCATCATCTTCATCTTCATCCTCATCGTCATCATCTTCGGGACTCGGAAGACAAATTCGAGAACACGGCCTCCCGTCGTTGGTGATCCAAGGCCTGGAGCAAAGAGGTGTCAAAAAAAGAAACCACATAGCTAGAATAGAAACCTGTTTTTCATAGCTAGCAACCGGTTTTCATAGCTAGAAACACTGATTGCATAGCTAGAAACCACGATACACGGGTCTTTTTTCCTGCAATTGGTTTTTATTTCCTGTCAGATACTGTTGCTGTGTCCAATCAGTTCGTATTGGTTGGATTCATGGGGTGGGCGGAAACGTGTGTTCTTTTTTCAGTTTCAGATGCTTTCGTTGCTTTTCAAATCTCGATCACGCTGCACTGCAGTGCTGACATAGCTGTGGATGTAGAGGGTGTGATGCCCAAAACGTTGTAAATACCCACAGAAAGTCAAGACATGACACCCCAACTGCTGTCAAGCAGCGAAATGTGAGCCCCAACTGCTGACATTGGCTGCGGATGTGAAGTGTATGTCCAAAAGGTTGTAAACAGGACGCCCAAACTGCTGCTCCATAGCAGCGAACTGTAAGCCCCCAGGATATTGAAATATATCCCGAAAAAAGAATGACAGAAAAAAAACGAATTCAAACCGCGCCCTTATTCATATTTTGTCTAAACTTCGAAGGGCGCAACTATTAAAAATATGTGGGACTGGTATGTGATTTGCCCAAACGAGTATTGTCTTGTCCGCAGCTGCTGTCATTCTCACGCAGTGCTGCGTGTCTTTGGCAGCATCAATTCAGGTTCCCTGTATACCCTGAATCAAACAAGCTAGATGACTTGGTATTGAATTATGCTAGCAGTTTCAGCAATATTACTTTGCGTTAACTAGTTATTCGAAAAAAAGACTTAGGCAAGTTGAACCACTGTTCAGGCAGGGGCAAAGAAAACATGGGGGTTTTGAACGTGCTCTGAACCATCTTTGGAACACGATCTGTGTGTTTGGTCCACCGATGTTTTTCTTGGTCCGGTGATGTGGCACACGGCGGGATGGCCTTTCAGCTCGAAAGGCATGGAAGACATGGAAGACATGGAAGACAAGTCATAGACGCAAGAAATTCACAGACGCAAGACAGCCCGCTGCGGCGCAGCAGCTTCGCATCGCAAGGGCGATGGAACGAGCACGCTCGATGCTCGTCACCTCCAGGAGGATATCAGTGCCTACCCCCTGGGTAGTGACGAAGCAAAAGAGAGACCATCAAAAGCAGCAGTCGGTGTGTAACCCATGGAGTTTGTTCGTCCTCTTCACGGCCCGAGTCGGTGGAGTTCCGTCACGCGATTCGCTTCCGAAGTTGACCACTTCAGTGACCAAGAAGTGTGTACAAAAACCGGAAAAAGCGCCTTCTGCTTGTCATAGACCTTGTCCAGCATCTCCCAAAGCTCCGGCCGTTCGCGAAGCTGCACTGGAAAGGAACTCCGATTGCCTTGGTTGGTTTGAGGAAATCGTCCGTGACTTTTGCCGTTGTCCCAAAGCCAGGTGCACGCTGCTCGCGCAGACCAGTTCTCAGAGCCCCGGCCGGTCTGCAAAGCTGCGAGCAGGTCACGGGCCAAAAACTCCTGCGGAACCCGCCGAAAGCGAAGCGTTCCGCGCGTCGCGTTCGGCACCGCCCAGGTGAACTGCAACAGTGCTGGGCACTTACTTCCGGAGCCTCCACTTCCGGGTCATGTAAGTTTGCGAAAAGAAGTGAGGAGGCCTCAGAATCGGCGTGGAGCATGTGGCAAGGGCGGGTACCAACTCAACACATCGAACGTGACAAATGCTCTTTCGACAAAAGAAGACCTCCTCCATTCTCAAGCCCATAGGGTAGACCTTTATCACGTACTGAACAACCAGCTGGAACAAAATCAAGGCCAGCACAAAATCTACCACGTGCCCTTTTTTATGGCTGATATGTTCACCCATCTAGTTCCTTTTGGGATCGTTAGCGTTCTTCTCTGACGCTCAAAATGCATATGAACACATTAACATTCCACACAAAATCAAGCCCCACATGGAATGATCTCCGGGCAATCCAGCATGCTGCACCAATGGAAAGGGAAGATTGAAGAGTTGAGAGATGAAGAGACAATGGTCATTCGACCATAACAACCAAGCTGCGGTCTCCCGATCCACCCCAATGCCGTGAAATCCACAACCTGGGACGCTGTGAGGAGGTGCCTGAAATGCTCATTCTGTGGGGAGGTGTGCCAACAAAACCACTAGCACCATGATGGAGAGATTTTAAAAAGGGAATAGTTTTTTCAATTATGTTCACCGGTCTTTTCCATATGCTGCAGCACGACGATTCACAGCCCTCCAAAAACATCGACGACATCCTCTTCTATGCCAGCTCTCCAAGCCGGTTCATGCATACACCAGCACTAGTAGGCCAGTCTTCTTTCTTGCCAAATCCTTCATTTCCTGCAATGCTCTTCTTGCCCCTTGCCGGTCCTTCTCCGAGTCGTTTTGTGTCCACTCCCCAGTGGTATCATCTCAAAAACCAAAACCTCTTCACTCGAGTAATTGAATCTCTGTGGCGACCTTGGAACACTACCACTGCATGCTTGACTCGATAGTGGCCATGAAAAGTGCTTCCACGCAGCACAAAAAAATGATGCGAAAACACACCTTTGATACACCTTTCAAAACACCTGACTTAGATCATCTTGAAGAGCAGCAAATCTGGAGGAGTTGTCAGAATATCTCTTGATATCTCGACCTGATTTCTGCCTGGCTTGTGCCTGAGAGGGTTCGGCGTGTTGAGCAGCTGGGCCTTATGGGGGCTGCCAACAAAGTCTTGAAGCTCTCCAACCAGATTACGCGTCCGGACGGTCACATAGACCACAAAGCCCCGACTCAAGTCAGCCACCAAGCGATGAAGCCTCGAGTGTGGGACACAGGGAGCACTGGCACGCTACCGTAGGCTTCTCCAAAAGCTGGGCCAGCTGAGGTGACGCTTAGGGACACCCCATGTAGCCCGACCGGCATCCCATGTAGCGTCTGGGCTCCGCTCCTAGGCAGTTCCCGATTTGAACGTTCACTCAAGTGCAGCGAGGAAGAGGCCGGTGGCCAACAGCGCGACCACGCCAAAGCATCAAGAGCAACTCAAAGAGCAATCAAAGCAACAGAGCGACTCCTCCTGAATTCTAGACCTCGAAGAAGGAAAAAGAGAAGCAGGATCTGCATGGATCTGGAAAAGCCAGCCGCGGCGGCGCAGTTTAGGCACCAAACCCCAGGAAAATGACAAAGCATCGGTCCAGAAAACCAGGAGGGGTTGAGCAAAGCTTGATAGTTGCACAGCCCTAGGGCACCTGGAACCAGTGTGAAAGTCAAACATCACCAAAACTTCTGTTGTTTTGTCACCTGTTTCTTGCAACGTCTTGATCGCTCTATATATTTAAAAAAACAAAAACATCCTTCTGAGGTGCCAATGCATTTTCATCGTCCTCTGATGCAGACCTAAGCCCTTAAGTGATGGTTCTGAGACCTAAGCGGCTTCACATAGACGGACGGCTCGCCACATGGACTGACGTGAATTGTTTGCTTGCTCCTGACTGCTTGATGTTCTTGCTTGGAACCTATCAGGGTACTCAGTCGAATCTGGCGTATGACTGATTGAGAGCTTCAAGACAACAGATATGACAAAGGTCAGAACACTGGGGAAAGGAGAGAAACCCTGCGGCATCTGCAGACAGGCCCTTCCGAGCCAAGGTTTGAGAGCCAGGCTGTGATCTGCCGGCATGCATTCCACCAGGAAGCAGCGGCCATCAACAGAGAACCTGCAGTTTCACACAACCAAGACAAGCTTTCACACACGAGCTTTGCATACTGGACCACTATAGCTGCAGCTTACTTTCTGTATCCAAAATCTCAAGTCTCAATCTTCAGACCTCAATTTCAAACCAGTGAACAGCTGAACAGCTCTTCAAGCTCTTTCGAACAGCTGATTCTCTACGTTTCAAAAGGTCGCGTCTTCATCGAAGGACCTCCGCTCCTTTGGGCGGAACGGTGGAACCTCTGTGTACCTGGATGCACCGAGAGAAGCGACCGAGTCTTCGGTCACGTCACGTCACGACTCACGAAGAAGTCGGTGCAAATCTACGAACGGATGAGTTTCTGGAGATGTGGTGGATATTTGGTTCAAACACTGCAGATGTGGTGCATTTTTTGTTCAAACGATTGGGGCGCCAGAGCACCAGCGATTGTATCTGAGCAACCCTCCTCACTGGGGCTTCCTGCCCACGGAAAGTGCTCACCGGCTTTTGCAAAGGATGTGGAGCGCCCACATCCTACACTTTGAAAACACTGTGCTCCTTTGCTGCTCGGCTTATGCCAAGTCTGCCAAGCAACCGGGTTGGAAGGCTGAAGAATAATGAGAAATTAAAGCATCCCTTCACTTCAACAGTCCTCCTGTGGGAAACGCCAGGTTGTCTGGTTGGTCTCCGGATTCCTAAGTGATGTTCATCATGCACCAGTTGGTAACGTTTACGATGAAAAGGGGGGAGCCCATGCGACTGCCCTAGGAGGGGCACAATGGAACAGTCTCCCACCCCATAGGACTCCAACCAGAAATAGTTCCGGCCATCATTGGTGCGCAACAGCTGCCAATTGGGTGGCAGCCTGATTGCGACAGCAAAGGAACACGGTCCTTTGGTACAGAACTGTCGTAATGCACATGCTATCTTTGGTGAAGCAACAGATACAATGTCATTCGTGTTCTGTTCAAGAAACATTTGGATTTGGAGGTTCAATGACTGACCACACCACAGCCTGCAACAAAGTGTTAAACCTTGTTTGTATGAGGTTTGCACCCATGAAAGGAACTGTCAAGAATTAATGCAATGAAAGGAACCGTCATGTTGGGAGGTGCGAAGCACAAGACCAAGTACACTTCCCAGCCTCATGCCCCTGATGACACCTGTTGCAAGTGCTCTTGAGTTTGGGACACGTTGTTCAATCGTAGACGTGCTCCGTTGCAAGCAAAAGAAACATGAACTCGAAAACCTCTAAAGAGCAATGTAAATAAACAACATACATGTTGTAAAATGTTTTTTTTCGCGCAAGAAGAACGTCAGCCTTTTCCAGCAATGTTCAGTTCTGCGTAGCATTTGGCCTGAGAACAACATTCCAACGGGGGATTGAGACACCTGTTTGCAAAGGGTGAATCAATTTGCGTTGTTTCCTTGGCCCTCCACTTCCAAGGCTCAGAAATTATCGCCTTGTTGCGTCCACAAATGTCAAACGAACAAGTACATCGTGGGAATTGATTTGGTGCATGTTGAGGCGGACTGCAACAACTAGCTCTTCAAGAATGCAATTCCTGCATGGCCTGTGAAAGAATAAACTAATTTCTGAAAAATTAATCTGCAGATTCGCAGTTCGGTTCTTCAACTCAAACTGACGCTAAACCTTGCCCTTACTGGCTTGGTAAATGGAATGGCTGCGGCCAATGGTTCGTACGTTCATGTTGTTGAAGGAAATGATATGGAAAAACGCGAAGGAAACCGTTGCATTCCACACATGTCCAATGTGCATACCAACGCAGACGTTAAAATCCAGAACATCAATTAGAAAGCTCTTCAAAAACGCATCCACAAAGGACATGCATTGGTGGGCTTAGCTCTTGTTAAAGAGTGTTAAAGATCTTCAAACATCACCAAGTCGATGGACTGCTTGCAGCTGGTGATCACTTGGCCTTCAAACATTCGGAGTCATGTTCAGCCACGCTCAGCTGTCGGCACAGCTTTGCGCGTTTTCGGCACAGTTGTTCAACACCTAGAATTTAGACCCGGCCACCAAGCTCCAGCCGGAGCAAACCCAGCCAAACAAAACTTGAACTGTTCTTGGCCAAAGAACAAGCAACAAATCAGAACCAAACAAGCGTGCACATGGAGGACAGAGCCATGAGCACACAAATGAGAGCACACAAATCAAAGCACACATGTCACACATGAGGGCACGCACACGAGAAAAGCACATGCAAAACATTTGGAAGAGCGCATGCAAGAGTGCATATCTGCCTGCGTGAAAGTTTGACACACAAACTAACGAAAATGAAAAACCTTGAGCTTTGACTTCTTTTCAAAAATATCTTAAGGTCCAGGGTCCCCGTTCGGCCTTTTCGGCCTTGTTCAGCGTGAAGGGGAAGGAAATTGGACTGTCTTTGGAGGCTTTGCTCGATCATCTAACAGCTGCTGATTTCAACTCCACTTCAACAACAATCGTTGGTCATCGCTTTGTCAGTCTGTCAGTCTGTCAGTCTGTTTCTTTGTCACTGAAATCAGTTGCCCCTAATTCCATCACTGGTCGTATTTGCCAGCAATTTAGAAGTCGCCAACTCAGTTTGAGGCCCTGGCAGAGGAAAGGCAAAACATTGGAGTGCACAGGCAGAAAGACTGCTGCTGCAGAATTCAATTGGAGGCTTTGCCTTTCACAGCACATCGTCAAACAGATCTTCTTTCCACAAACCAAAAGTGGCATCGCAAAAGTTGTGATTTTCACGACCAATCCAAGCACTTGTGGCCCAGAGGGGGGTGGCGAAAGCTAGGCAAAGAAACAACGCTGGGGCTCTTTAGGCAGCAAAAGCCTGGCCGGGAATCGCAACATGCCATGGCCAAGGGAAAAGGAGAGTGCCAACAGCGCCCCCCCCAATACGACCCCAACAAAGCCAACACATGGCAACACACAACTACCCCAGCAACCGCAGCAGCAGCAGAAGCAGCAGCAGGAGCAGCTAGCAAGCAGCAGCACCAGCTACCAAGCAGCGGCAGCAGCAGCAGCACCAGCTACCAAGCAGCAGCAGAAGCAGCAGCAGGACCAGCTACTAAGCAGCAGCAGAAGCAGCAGCAGGAGTAGCTAGCAAGCAGCAGCAGCAGCTACCAAGCAGCAGCAGCAGCAGCAGCACCAGCTACCAAGCAGCAGCAGCAGCACCAGCTACCAAGCAACAGCAGCACCAGCTACCAAGCAGCAGCAGCACCAGCACCAGCTACCAAGCAGCAGCAGCAGCAGCAGCTAAGCAGCAGCAGCTACCAAGCAGCAGCAGCTACCAAGCAGCAGCAGCAGACAAGCAGCAGCAGCTACCAAGCAGCAGCAGCTACCAAGCAGCAGCAGCAACCAAGCAGCAACCAAGCAGCAGCAGCAGCAGCTACCAAGCAGCAGCAGCAGCAGCTACCAAGCAGCAACTACCAAGCAGCAGCAGCTGCGACCAAGCAGCAGCAGCTGCTACCGAGCAGCAGCAGCTGCTACCACGCAGCAGCAGCTGCTACCAAGCAGCAGCACCTGCTACCAAGCAGCAGCAGCAACCAAGCAGCAGCAGCAGCAGCTACCAAGCAGCAGCAGCAGCTACCAGGCAGCAGCAGCAGCTACCAGGCAGCAGCAGCAGCTACCAGGCAGCAGCAGCAGCTACCAAGCAGCAGCAGCAGCAGCAGCAGCTACCAAGCAGCAGCAGCAGCAGCTACCAGGCACCAGCAGCAGCTACCAGGCAGCAGCTACCAAGCAGCAGCAGCAGCAGG